GTGTGTGTGTTGTGTGTGTGTGTGTGTGTGTTATCTATTTTATGAGGTAGCAATTTTTTATGTCTTTGATAGAAAAATGACTTTTTTTATGACTTTTATTGTATGATTTTTAGAAAAAAGAATTCGCCAAAGCATAATAAAGGTACAAACTACTGTGAGATTGTGTTAGTGTGTCCAACTACAGATAACCATATCACATATGAAATGCACTGCATTTTAAAACTATTTTGAAAAAACTTCTGTAGTTTCATCAATATAAATATTTTTTTCTTCTGCAAATGTAGATGTTTGGACTTATTTTGAGGTTTGAATTTAGGACTGCTTTATGGAGTCCTAAATTAACTATGGAGAGTTAATTTATAAAGTCTTTCTTTCTTAGGTGGCATGGGCCGCTGAAAGCACTTTGAATATGTCTTGTCTAGAATGATTATGACCACAATAAAAATAACAATAATATTAATAATATGAACAATAAATGATTAAATAAAGTATGCAAATGATATATGTGATTTATTTTCATTCTGTTCACAAAATAATTGAATTTTAGCCATGGGAACAGTTCATTCAATACTGTCATTTGATAGTGAATATTGATATATTGCCTTAAGTGTCATACACAGTTGTCAATTAGTGGTGTAAGTGAAAACAATCCAATCAGACTGAATTAGCTGACATATTATTTGCAATGGCAATTATTGATATTCAGCAGGCCCTAACTGATCAGATGGTGCAAAGCGGTCAGTTTTCTATTGGTCAGGTGAATACCAGTTACATACCCAACCACCAAATATACAGTTGATCATCTCAGACTCATATTTGAGTAAAATGTCTTGGAGGGAAATTGTATTAAATGAAATATGTATGAAAAAGTTCTTAAAAAAAAAAAAAAGTTAAAGAGACATTTATTGTAATTCCACAAACTGGGTAATATTCTCACTCTCTCAGGGTACCGGTGAACGTGTAATCACTCAACAACCTCTCAGAACCATTGGACATGATAATAAGGTAAATATTGATCTACATTTGCTCATTTACAACACATAGCTACTTTAGAATTGCATCACAGAGACAGAGCTAAATTGGATTAGGCTTGATTATGTTCCCACTTTTGTTTTCTATTATTTATGACTAAAATCACTGAGAAATATTTTCTTTACCTGTTGCCCTACAAAAGATGAAACAGCTGGAGTTTCATCCAATCAACAAAAGAAAATACTATATTTGTTCAGGATCAATAATTTCATCTCAAAATATAGATGTTGGAGGTTTGTTTGATTTATTTGTTTATTTATTTATTGGTGGCATGGGCCACTAAAAGTATATTTAATAGGTCTTATCTAGAATGATTATGAGAAATAATGAATAATTAAATGAATGATTAAATAATATATGCAAATAATATATGTCATCAAGCCGTTTTTATAATGTTGTTCACAAAATAATTATATTTTAGCCATGGGAACAGTTCACTGCCCATGTTTGATATATCAGTCGATACTGAATATTGATATGTATTGCCTTCAGTGTCATACACAGTTGTCCACTACTGGTGTGAGTGAATTATCCTGACATATTTATTTAACCTACATTTATATTCTAAAATAAGGTGTTGCAGATATGTCTCAACTTGTTGCTGAGTTACTTGCCCTCACAGAAAGCAGCTATTAATTGTATTGATATACAATTGATAAAAACAGAGAATATTCTTCTTATTTATTTAATGATTTTTTTATTTTTATGTGGACATTAGGACTTCAGTGCAGCAGGTGCTGAAAGTCAAGACTCTAGACATTCTCCGGATCACATGAAGCATCAAAACATCACATCGGGTCAAACAAAGCAATCAGACTCCGAGCCAGAGAAGGTATTGACTAAAGAGCAGAGCTTGAGCCATAGATTTTCTAAGAGTCATAAATATTTTATAGAATATCAGTGATCTTATATTTGTTTGTTTACTTTAGTTCAGTATTGCAGAGAGTTTTGTGATAATGACTTGGCTCCCATAGGTTGTTTGCACATGACATCACTGCTGTGGCGTGAAATGCAGCTGGAGGACAGGAAGTGATTTTTCTATAGGAATCGCTAGCAGAAACTCAATATGGCTATGTTTGGCATTGTTTATGGATGCTCAACCGTAAACCACAAGGAGCTTTTATCGTGTATGAAAATTTGTTGTTCAAAAGGGGGGAAAAGACAAGAAATCGACTGAAAAACGCAGGAAAAAGTGTCTTGTAAACCTGCATCTGTGGTCAGGAGGAGCCGAGACAGATAATGCTTGTGTGTGCAAATGGTTAATATAAGATATAATAATATATTAAAGGGGTCATATGATGTTGCTAAAAATAACATTATTTTGTGTATTTCGTGTAATGAAATGTGTTTATGCGGTTTAAGGTTTAAAAACCACATTATTTTCCACATACTGTACATTATTGTTTCTCCTCTATGCCCCGCCTTTCTGAAACGCGTCGATTTTTACAAAGCTCATCGGTCTGAAAAGCGAGGTGTGGTTCTGATTGGCCAGCTATAGAGTGCGTTGTGATTGGCCGAATACCTCAAGCGTGAGACGGAAATGTTACGCCCCACACATACTGTTGATGCCGTGTCCGGCCGGAGCAACGACACAAAAACATGAAAACCCATTACAAACGAGGCATTTGTTGCATCAGTGGGGACATAATTACTGATTATAATGACTTATACTGTCATTTTACGCGTTGCGTTGCATTGCG